AGAGGTAAGGTGCAGGAAATCTCCGGCTCAGTCATTGGGGCAACATTCTGTCATGCATCACACAAACGTGCAGATACCATCAGACAACTGAAACAGGCCCGGGCAGTGTGGACATGGAGCCAAAGCACCCTCCCGACCCAAGGGAAGCCCCTGCACCCAGGAACTCAGCAGCCGTCTTGACACAGCAGCTGGTGTCACAAGCGGGGAAGACAACATGAACTTAACCTGCCTGTGTGCCTTGTCCTCTTGGTCTCCTGCAGGTTTCCTATGAAATGTTTCTCAAGACTCAGAAAATCCTTGCTTATGTTTAGATGACCAGACAAACTTCACATTTCCAGGAAGAAAGGAGATTTGTCATTGTTCAGTGTGATGAGATCACATAGATATGCCAAGTCCTGATTTTACAGAAAAGGCAGCAAGTCTAAGAGAAGCTGAGCATCCTTCCCAAAGGCATGCCCCTCTGTGGCCAGGACAGGCCAGGATCAGCCAGGACCCGCCTTCCAGGATGACTTGCCCATTCTGGTGAAAGTGTGATTGCCCAGTACTAAATGGGGAAAGATGTTGGAATTGTTCGAGATGCAAACAGTCATGATTGGTTTCTGATGGCATTCCATTAGTGAACTGAGAATAATAGTGGTAATAATAACCACCAGGATAGTACTTTCCATAGTGCCTGTGACTCCATTATTTCACTTAATCCTAATACTCTGGTGGTGATTAGGAAACCCAGGTTCAGAAATGCTTATTAAATTATCAAAAGCAAATGACGACTCGATAGCCAGACTTACACTGGAGCGGTCTAACTCCTTGCTCGGTGAGGAGAACAGTTCCTTGCTCACTACACTAAGACATAGAAAGTGTTTCTGGGAAATGACTTACCTGTAGAGCATTTTAAATGTAAAGTTCTGTAGTAGTCAAAATAGATGAACTATTCCAGCACTAATTTTTCATCTCCTTGATGGGTTGTAGCAGGAGTACTGGAAATGGCCATGGTAAGCAATCTGGGGGTTAGAGCAAACCTAGTTTGTGCCGCACAGCAAGTGAGGTGGGCAGGGGTTAGCCTTGGCAACTATCAACACTTTTTTCTTTTTTTCCAGTAAGAATTAAGTTTGTCATTACAATTCTGAAAGTTAAGGTGTGAGGGGGGAAATTAAATGGCCAAGGACTAGCAAAAATAGGGGACAAAGGACAATGGCTTTCCTCTAAAAACAGCCCTCAGTGGATCTTCTCCAAATCACTGTGCAGTGTCACATGCACACGTCTACAACCAGCTGTGCACACATCCAGAATGCATGTTTCCACGTGGCACGCACTCAGAATGCGGCCTGCTTGCACGTGAGGCCTATTTCTCTGAGATCCCACTTCCATCTTCCTTAATGAAGTAAAAGAAACGCAAAGATAAATTTCTTTTACTATGCTTTTCCCAGAGAAACTCGAACCACCAGCAACAGTGCAGTGTTCCACTCAAGGCAATGGTCCGGTGTTAAAGTGCCATACAGCATAGCTGGTTCTACATCTGTGAGGTCTGTAAGCATACGCCTTGCACTCCTGCTCAAGGATTCAATCAATAAGGTCATGCCTGCTGCTTGTGTTTGAAATAGCAATGCACGGGCTTAGCACACTCAGAAGTATAAATAGATTTGTGTCTACAGATATATCTCAGTAACATGAAGTTATATTCCAATCATTAGCTTGTTTATGTGCAGACTGTACTTCTGGGGCTCGGAGTGGCCTTCTTATTAAATTTTAAATAACATTTATAATCTCTCTTGCTGGGTCAGCACATGGAAAAGTCAAATCATCCTCTTTGTTTTAAGGCAACTGAGTCATTAGGTAATTTTTAATTAAAAAAAATGGCTTTGAGGGGTCAACAATTTAGTTCAGTGCGTGCCTAGCATGCACGGGGCCCTGCGTTCAGTCTCCAGCACTGCTTTAGAGTGAGGTGCATACTTTGCCTCTCTTGGTTGGGTCATGTTGTTTCTTGTCTTCATGAGACGGGATTTTTAACAACAACAGTGTGGTGTAGTAAGTCTACCCACCCATGAGTGCTCCAGTTTGCTATTATGGGTATGTACTGAGCGGTCAAGGCATGCTGGCACTCACCGGGAAGTCATCATGTCAACTTCAGGTTTTTGGTTTCATTTTTTCTGCTTTTGGTCTTTTTGAGACAGGGTCTCCTTGAAACTAAACCCAACTGGCCTGGAACTCACTATGTAGACCAGGCTGGCCTTGATCTCACAGAGATCTGCCTGCCTCTGCCTCCCGAGTGCTGGGATTAAAGGTGTGCCCCACCAGACTCTCATATGGTTTCTGGAATCATGAAGATGTTCAGTGAGATGTCTTAACTTGCATCCATAAAGGCCCAAGAAGTCGGCAGATGGATGATGGGGGCAGGGCCAGTCCTGTACATTAAATGACATGACACAAAAGTCCCCTGCACTCTTCACGAGGAGGCATCCAGACCTGCTCCCAAAGCATTCACCAACTCACCAAGAGACCTTTACCCCAATATCCACTGCCCTGTGATAAAAATCATCTTCAGGAGCTGGAGCGGAGAGGAGCAGTTAAGAACACTGGCTGCTCTTGCAGAGGACCTGGGTTCAATTCCCAACTCCCACATGGCAGATAACAACTGTCCATATCTCCAGTTCCAGGGGATCCAACGCCCTCTTCTGACTTCCAAGGGCACTGCATGCCATAGAGGCACTTACACACATGCAGGCGATACACTCATACACATAAAATAAAAATTGCGAAAAATCATCATCTTCAGGTGAAATGCATCTTCTACAACTCCATCAAATGGACCTAAGCAGACAACAGGCCCTCTAGAGACTCTGGTTAAGCAGCTTTCACCTCTGAGGTACCTGTCTGGAAATGTGTGCTAAATTACAGAGAATTAAAACACAGAAAAGATCAGGGATCCCTCAGAGAGACATCTAAGCCTCCAGCTTCTTATCAAAAGCAGGGTAGGGGTTGGGACATCAATCGAAAGACGATACTTCTGAGAAAGTGTGCCTCCCCTTCTGTGAATAGGTTTATGAGCTTATGGAAGCCGATCGGGTCCTGGTGATCCAGGCATTGTTCAAGTGGCCATGCTGCATTTTTGTGGGGGCTTACATATGATGGTATTCCAGTGTCCCCAGGGAGCCCTGCCCTACAAACCCTGTGCAAAAGGCCCTGTTCTAAGCCACAGGTTCCAATGGGGGGCAAACGCACACCCCAAGAGAAGACACACAAGTGTCTGAGGACCATTTTTATTACCTCAGTTAGGGACACAGTCCTGGCATCTGGTGGGTAAAGACCAGCGATTCTGCCTAACAACCCACGAAGCTAAGACATCCCAGAGTTTCTACAGTGCCAAGGCTGAGAAAACAGCCCAGTGGCCAGGCCACTTCCGTCCCTGAGAGGCTGGAGAACTGCAGTCTTCCCAGACCAACCCTTCTCACAGACTAATTAGAAACTAGTTTATCTGATAGCCTTAGAAGCTGTACAGCTTTGGGGAGAGTGAAGTGGGGTGTGTCCTCCAACGTCCTCCCCTCCATGTGAGCAGTTCTTCCGTTCTCCAAGGCTCAGGTGCCTTCTGCAGGATTTTCCCACCTGATCATCTCACAGTGCCATGTGCTTACTGTAACTGTAGGTCTGATCAAATTAGCTCCTTTCCCCTTCCAGACTGTATATCCGAAGTGTAAACTCTAAAAAAAATTAATTTTATTTTCTGTGAATGAGTATATTGCCTGCACATGTGTAAGTGAGCCCGTGTTGTGCTATGCCCAAAGTGGCCAGAAGAGGATGTCAGAGCCCCTGGAACTGGAGTTACAGATGGTTGTTAGTCACTATGTGGGTGCTGGGACTTGAACCCAGGTCCTCTGCAAGAGCATCCAGTGCTCTTAACCACCGAACCATCTCTCCAGCCCCCAAAATGCAAACTTTTTTTTCACACTACATTTTTGTTCATTTTTCTTGTGTGTGTGATGCACGCACAGGCACACATGCCAGGGCATGTGTGTGGAGATCGGAGGACAACCTGTGGGACTTGGTTTCCTCCCCTCTGCCACGTGGGGCCCACCAGGTTTGGTAACAGGTGAGCCCCTCCGCTGGGCCCCCAAAGCTTGGGCTTTTACATTTAATTCTGGTGTCTCAGCACCCACCAGAGCTTGACACAGACAGGCATACAAAGTTAGAGAGAGAAGAGCAGGACTGGAGAACCCCCTCGACTCTCCACCTGCATCCAGTCTCCTTCGGTCCACAGCTATTCGCAAGCACAGAGCCCCCAAAATGTCGGACCCTGCCCACCCAGGATATAGAAACAGGGTTGTCACACCCTGTGGCATGGTAGGGATGTCTAGCCAGCCATCCCTGCAGAGGCTAGAATGCCCACTCCCTGTGGTGGTGCGTAATGAAGGCTGTGGTGATGGTTCTGTGGGGTCCTGGCCTCACCATGCCTGTGGGAGTGGAAGCGGCACTGACTTCTCCCTAGAGGCCTTTTCTTAGGCAGTGAGGGCAGGGGACAGGCTCGATGCACTTCTTTAATATGTTTTGGCTTTCCAGAGCAGGGGCGTGAGGCCACCTGGTCATGACCCCACCGGGAATCAGCTGTCTTCAGCATCTGGCTCTGCTGTGAGCAGGGATGTCTCTTCTCTCAGCTGCCTGTGGCAGTTTGCATCAGAAGTCACAGGAACAGGGAGGAAGCTACATATAAATGGGGTTTGGCGTCACAAACAGCACTCCGGAGCTTGTGACATTGTTGGAAATGTGAGCAGACCAGCTCTTGGATGGAGAGCCAATCGGTGACTTTTGTCCTGTCTATGGTCAAGGAATGGAAACTAAAATAGTCCTCCTGCTCCAAATGGCATGGGCTGCCACACGGCATGTTACTGTTATTTGACCTATCATGCCAAACGAGGTTTCAGCAAAATGCTGAGTATTGTTGTAAGAAAAGCATTCCAACATGAAAATATTCTCAAGATCAGGGAAAAAAAGACAGGGTTGTTTCAGAACATTCTACTTTATTTTCCACTGTCAGACAACATAAATAGCAGCATACATTTATTAAATACACAGACTAGGTGTTCCTTCAATGTCATTAGAATTCTGATGTATTTTTTATACACAGCATTGAGAATCAGCTTTTAAAACACATGGAAGATATATTAAAGTATAGTGCAGAGAAATGCCCAAAGAGCTTTACACAGATGTGACAAATCCACCTTCCAGCTCAGCCGAGTGTGAGGGGATGGGACACTGAGGAGAGGTGAACTGTTCTGAACCCCGCAGCGGAGCTTAGAGTGCCGGTAACATCAGCTGCTCCCACACTGGACAGCGAGGCCCACACGCATCCTGTGTGAGCAGACCACAGTCATCCATGCCTGCTTGTAATTTACCCAAACAACTTTGTTATTTATATAAAACATTTGCTGAAGTAGAATACATTCTCTCTCTCTCTCTCTCCTCTCTCTCTCTTTTTCTCTGCCACACTGATTCCCTCTCTCAGACATTAGCAGTCAGTGATTATCTGAGTGAACGAATTTATCAATCTCTCTCTTTTATAGAAAGGAGCCCAGGCAGCTTCTGTGTTTTCTGGGTGAGCAGTGTGTAAGTTAAATGAAGTCCCTCCCTCCCTCCCTCCCTCCATCCTTCCCTGCCTGTCTGTTTCTGAGCTCTGGCCTGTAAGTGTCCATGCTTTTAACAGGCTGTGGTAGGCAAGTTTCCTCTGTTGTCTGTGTTCTCCACCTGCCCCATACCCACCACGTGACTGTTCTTTCCGAAGCAGAATGCACACTGAAGGACGGGAGATTCACACGCATTTCCCCTAGATTAGCAGTAAGTTTTGATTTTTCCAGACACTGAAAACTACATAAGGAACTTTAGCTATTACATTTTGATTGGATAATATTGACCTTGATTTACTTTAACAAAAGGGTCAGCATGCTATAAATCTAAAGCATTTCACAACAGAATTTAGAGGTGCACATTTAAAAAGACATTAGATGTGGAATTATCTTCCATAATAAAATGGATCCATCCAAGCAGAATAACAATAAGACGGGTTCAGATCTGTTTGCCTATCTGCATTGGAAACACAAAGTTTTCTTTCTTCTCTTAAAAGCAACTCAAGCCCCACAACTACAACTATTTCTCCTTGAGAGGATGGGCAGGAAACTGGTATTGGGCAGACCCACTGTGACCAATGTGAAATCGCGTAGGTAGGTGTGTGGGCTGTTTAGTAAGTACAGCTGGCTGTGAAAAGCTTCCAAGAATAAAGTAATTTTCTTTATCAGCAGTGGAGCTCTGAGGCATAAACAAATGTGATGTAACTGATTGAATTACCTTCTTAGGGAAGGTATTCTTCATATAGTGTCACATGTACTGCTGAGAGCCAAACTTCCACAAACTCAAATTATCTTCACCTTAGGTATCATAAAACAGACTATACAAAGTAAACCATCTCCCAGGTTCTCTGGGTCACTTCATACGTCATCACTACCTGTTAGTCTTCTCAGGCCAATTTGAAGGCTGATCTTTAAATTCTGCAGGACTGCAGAATCCAGGAGTATCTTACCTCCTCTCAGGTTTTTATTGCAACTCACAGAACACTTCTCTGAGCTTCATCGAAATTGCACAATTTTTACACTTATTTAGATTTCAATTTTGAAACTAAAAATTGGAGAGATGGCTTAGGGGTTAAGAGCATAGACTGCTCCTGTAGAGGACCCAGGTTCGAATTCCAGCACCCACATGGCAGCTACCAACCGTCTACATCTCCAGTTCCAGAGGGTCCAATGCCCTCTTCTGTCCTCTTTGAGCCCTGCAGGACATGGATGCACTTACATACATGCAGGAAGAACACTCACACACAGAAGTTAAAAATAAAAGTTTAAAAGCACAAAACAAGCCATAAATAAGGATCTGTGAAAATCTGTCACGGTCTATGACTAGGTGGATAAAACATAAATCTTTTAACTATTCTAACTAAGCTTCTGATGCATTTATGGAAGCAAATACGTGCTGTGTTGCTCTTCTCCACATCACGGGTATTTTGAGAGAAGCTTTTGGCATTGACTGGTAACAAATGTGATAAAACTTTTCAAAGAACAATGTGTTTTTCTATTTTGTTTCTGACTTGATTCCACCCCAAAAGAATTCTTAAGTAATTGTCAATGCTGGAAAGCCTGAAATTTGATCACTAATTTGGGTGGGGACACTAACAAAAGTGTGAATAAACAAAAGCGCAAATCCACTTGAAAAATCAAGTATCAGGGTACTACCAAGAAGTCTGTCTCTGAGTTCTTAGTCTGGCTTTAACTTACAGGACATCCTACAGGTTTTTTCCCCTCTATAACTCTGTCAAGAGATCTTTTATAAGATAGAGAAGAATTAAGTAGAAATGTGTGTACATCCTCTTTTATGGCAGAGCAACTTAAATCTATCGTGATTGAACATATTCATCTAAAATATTTTGATATACAGCATTAGGCAAATTTGGTAAACCTCAAAGTAATACTTCATGTTGTGTTGTTTTGTGTGAGACGGTCTCAGTGTGCAGCCCTGACTAACAGGAACTCCCTCTGTAAATCAGGTTGGCCTCAATCTTTCGGTGACCCTCCCACCCTGCCTTTGTTCCGGGGTTACAGGCATGTACCACCATGCCTGGCTCTGAAGTAACACATTTTGTTTCTTCAACCAGAAAGTATTTAAGACATTCACTGTACCCATTTGATTTGAAAAGTTAGCTGTTCTTATTTGACAACACGTCTTTCCTATGAGATAGCACAGTGCTAAATTCATTGAAAATTCAACACTTGCTGATTTTACATGGATATCTACAGTTTATTCACGGGTATCTTTCCCTGTGGTTTTCTGGGGCTCTAATGAATACCTTAAGGAAATGTCCTATTTATGTCTTCTTCCTGATCATACATGCATCCTTAAACCAGCTCCATGGGCGTGAACATGATCTCAGACAGAGACTGCAGAAGTCCACGTTCGGACAGAGAGAGCCTCTGCACAGCACTTCTGAAATCTGACGTCCCTGTCCAAAGCTGAGATCACTGGGGTTTTGTTTCTTGGGTTTTCTGTAGATCAATAGGTGGCTGCTGAGACGATAGAACTCATATGCTGGCTCCACATGCTCTTCCTTTCCTCCTTCTCTTCGAGCTGTTCAAAACCAGCTGTTCTCCTGCCACAGAATCCCCATCCAAGAATTTGTTAGCGGTTTATCTCATGTGTGTGTGTGTGTGTGTGTGTGTGTGTGTGTGTGTGTGTGTGAGCGCGTGCACATTAATACTGGAGCCCGTGGAGGACAGAGATGTCAGATCTACTGGAGCTAGAATTACAGGTGGTTGTTAGCCACCTGATGTGGGTGCTGGAATTGAACTCAGGTCCTCTGGAAGAGCAATTACATGCTCTTAACCCCTGAGCCATCTCTCCAGCCCCGAAAAATGGCATTCCTTTGACAGGAGCCTTCAATGCCAGTTGGAGACACATCCTCTAGATTATTAATACAAACAACTTTACTACAACATGGCACTCGACCTTTGAAGACAGATTTCCGTTTCTGCAATAAATAAGCAGAAGTCATTGCTTTATCAGCTGGATGGGCTGTGTCTACATGTCACATGTAATGACATGCGTGACTGCATGTGATGCCTCAATTGCCTCAAGAGCGAGTGTGCAGTGCCGCAGAATTCCACTTGTTCACTCACGGAGAGGTGTTTGTTGGAAGGGTCTATACTCCAGGTGCTGGAGTAGTGTGGGAGAGGTAACTCAGTCAGGCCTCCACTCAGACGCACACTGTGTGTCAATACCATCACAGAAAGCCAAAAGACCACCCCAAAGGCAAAGCCTCTCTGTCAGAAGGTAATTTAAGTACAGGGAAAGAAAGGATAATTTGTTCTGTACTCTGAGAAGTAGCCTATGGAATAACCTTCCGGTCAGAGAGATTTTATAATAGATTTTAGTCCAAGTTTCTTCTCCTCTTTAACGTCTGGGTTTGCAGAGCCATCCGGGGTGAAGCAAGGGCTTGTACCGGCTTTTATCTTCTGACTCAGTCTGACTTGGTCATCTAAACTGATTATTCCTGATTGGCCTACACAGGTGCACTTATTTAACCTACTAGACACAGTGTAACAGTTAAAATGAACTGTCACCAGAAGGCCTGCTAACATCAAGGAAAATGAAGCAGCTGTAAGAAGCAGAAATAAATCTTGAGCTTTGAAGAAACGAGGAAGCAGTAAAAGTACAAATGAAAATCTTCACAATGAAACATCGATGAGTATGGCCGGTGTGGTGGCGCAGGCCTTTAATCCAGCACTCGGGAGGCAGAGGCAGGCGGATCTCTGTGAGTTCAAGGCCAGCCTGGTCCACATAGTGAGTTCCAGGCCAGCTGGGGCTACAGGGAGACCCTGTCTCAAAAAGACCAAAAAAAACCAAAAAGTACTGATGAGCTGTAAAATGAATCTGGAAAGGGTTCTGTGCCGTCTTGAAGGATTGGTGTTAACGGGTAACTTTCTAAGACTTTGGTGTAGTCTTGAAGGATTACAGTGTTAGTGGGTAACTTTATAAACCTGCAGTCCCCACAGCTCCATGTAATTCACCTGTACCAGAGGGAATTAAGCCAAACCATCAAGGCCTGCATTCATGTAAGCTGTATGAAAAAATATCAACAGCACAGACACGGCAGAGCTCATCTGTGGACAGGGTGAGGAGCTGTGAAGAAGTCTGTGTGGCTGATATTCTTGTCTCATAGGAGGCCAAGCTAGGGTGAATCTGTATTCAACTTTCTAAGCTTTTATTTGTTTTAGAATCAGAGTTGGTAGCTAAAGACCCAAAAGCCTGGAGGACACTGTTGGAAAATAATACAATATTCATTTCTCAAATTGGCCTTTAAATAGAATTCTGAAATATTGCTTTATGACTCTCCTGGATTAACTTCATGAGTCCTCTCTAGGCTTCTAGAAATGCAGGACATATTCAAAGGAAAGAATATTTAGCAACATCGAACAGCCACAAACTATCACATCTGAAGCAAATGGCATTGGATCTCATTGGGACAGGCAATAAACTCGCATACCAACCCAACCAAAAGTTGTAAGGTCACGAGCAATTTACTACATTGAGCATATTGAAATAACATCAACATGATAAGTACTGTTGGATACATTATACATTTTTTTAGATTTCAACTATCTGTACTCTAAGAAGCTCCAGATCATTTATAATAGGGGTTTTCATCACAGAAACAATCCCATGTTCAGCTACAAATGGCAGAGACCCAAAACACTAGACTGTTAGTAACAAATTTTCCTTTGTTTGTACTTTGGGTCTTTTGGCACATCAGAGATTATCTGCGCTTCTCAGCCCATCTAGCTTTAGATCAAAAATTCCATTTCAGTGCATAAACAGCAGCATGCCAGAGATGCCTCAGTAGGCAAGAGTTAGGGACCTTTGCGAAGCTGGGCTGCGCAAGTTGGCCGCCTCCTCTCTCATGCTCCCCGTTGCATTCTTTCATTAGCTAACGAGACAGGCTGCCCTTTCTGTCCATCACTAGAGCAGCTGGAGACAGCATTTGCTACCTGACAAAACTTTCGAAGAAGGATCTTTCTTAGCAGCAGGTAAACCCAGGGGTCCAGGATCTGGTTCAAGGAGGCCAGGCGAACCGCGATTAGGAAGAAGCTACACTCTGTCTGCTTTCCCATCATCTGCGTCTTGCAGTGGTCAACTGATGTCTGATTGAAGATCATCTTCAACATCATTATCTAAGAAAGAAGGAGAAATCATTATTCCAGAGACTGATGATATGGCTGTGTACACCTCTGCACCATGCTCTGTGGTTTGGGTCTTCTGTGCACACACAGTTAAACTGAAACTATCAGTCCAGGCACTTAGAGTCACATCACACAGCTGAGTTATGTAAGGCTGTCCTATGGATTGTCCCACATTTGGGGCAACATGACCCAATGGAGCATTGTAAAACACACAGGTTCTGACCTTTGGAATTTAAGAAGCCTGGACATAACATATCTCAGAATTAGCTAAATTTACTATCAGGCTGACACCCAAGTGACAGCCAACTCTTCAACAATAATCAAGATCAGCTTCAGTGATTCTAAGTAAAAACTACCATGGAGAAAAAAGTAGAAGGAGCAAACACAATAGTGCTGGTCTTATGATGTTTCCACTAGTGGTTTTTCTACCTCTGATCTGCCATGGGAAGTTACTCATGTGTTCAGTGTCAGTACAATGCTGGTACCACTCCACCTCCATTCACAACCCTAGAAAGCAAGATTTAATGATGTGAATGGCTGAGCCAAACCCAAATTTAGGTTCACTAGTGCTACATGGTATATGTCATTCCACTTTTTAAACATTTTTCCTTCTTTTTTGGCCCCCTTTAGATGCTAAAATGTAACAAGATGGTGGGGTTTGGGACTCTTCCTGCGAGTCCCAGGGTCCAGACTTATATTTAGCAGAAAGTAGATAAATACTTGGCAAATTTTTATATTTGACGGGCTATATTATATGACATATTGAATATAACATTACATAACATACACAAATATATTTATAAATAAGTCAATATATAAATAAATAACTCAAATGAGTTAATACATATCCATGAATGAGTACTTGTGATTTTCAAAAAGAAAAATTTAAAGGTTCTTTTTTAAAATACTTTTTTAAATTTTATTTTGTGTATATGTGTATTGCCTGCATGTATGTAAGTGCACCCATGTCTTGTAGTGCCCAGGGAGGTCAGAAGAGGACCTCAGATCCCCTGAAACTGGAGTTGTGGATGGTTGTCAGCTACCATGTGGGTGCTGAGAATCAAACCTGAGTCCTCTGCAAGAGCAGCCAGTGCTCAACTGCTTGAGCCCTCTCCAGCCCATTTGAAGGATCTTATGCATATGAAAAGCTTTTCAAAATTAATCATCAGAAAAACGGAGAGAGAAGCCGCTTCATTCCTATTACAGGACTAAATGAGGACTCACGAGGTAGGGGGCCAGAGTGGACCCCACCACAAGGTCAGCAAGGGGGGGCAGAGCAGACCCCACAGCTGGGACGGGGACCTGGAGCCTGTGCACCAGAAGACACCTAGGCTGCCTCTCCTCTACCCAGCAGTACCAAGCACACTCCGGATCTTTCCGAGCAGAGGAGTCCTGCACATTCCTTCCCAGCGAGCACTCTTCACATGCTCATGGCGGTGAGGAAACAGGAGCCACCCAGGCACTGGTTCATGCACTCAACAAAGGCAGAAGCTGACTTTCCAATGGGGTGAAATTCACCTTTCTAGGCCTCTGTAGCAGCTCACCACTGATAACGGGGCTGGATGACCCGAGGAGTCAGAAGGCAGCACTGACTGCATGATGAAGAAACAATTCTGAACTTAGCTAAATAAAACACTATTAAAACTGTCACCTGTTCTTACTTTATCTTAAAGCATTTTTAAATTATGTTTTATTTATCCGGGGAGGGACGAGTGTGTGCTGGCACGTGTGGCGGTCAGAAGACTGTGTGGGTCTTGGGGACTGAACTCAGGTCATCAGGTTTGGTGGCAAAGACCTTCCTCACTGAGCTATCTTGTCCCTTCTTTTCACTTTTAAAAATTGTGGCTGTGGAAAACGTAACCATGTGACTTACGCAGTGACTTATGCTCACTGCTTACAGGAGTCATCTGTGGAATCCATCTCTCTCTTGATCCTCATGCTCTTGTGAGTGTTCTTCCATATCCCCCAAACTGAATTCAACATTGCTAAACATCTAAAGATCTCTAACCACACATTCTCTCTCTCAGCACTTCAGAGTCACAACTAAGTTATTGCCTCACGCCCTCATTCACACACACACTCATTCACACACTGCCTTTCGCTCTGGACACAATCTTGTCCTAGTCCAGACCCTCCCACATACATTTGAGTTATAGCGGCAACAGTCACCCATATAGGCCTTGCTGCGGAATGAATGAATTCTCCAGTGCTCACTGTCCAAAGCCACAATATGATGGTACCAGAGGTGGAGCTTTAGGAGGCAACTGGGCTTAGAAGAGGTCCTCGGTTTGGAGCCTACCCTGCAATGGGACCCAAGTCTTGATAAGGAGAGTGAGAGATGCCAGACCTTTGTCCTGTCAAGATATAGCTAGAAGACGGCCATCTACAAGCCAGCAGACCAGTTCTCATGACGGACAAAACAGCAAGCACCCCGACCTTGTGCGCTCAGCCTTCAGAACAACGGAAACATGCCAGCATTAAAAGTGCACCTTCTTGAACTGTGGGTTGTGAGCCCATGTGGGGTCACGTCATTGAATGTGGGGGGTCACAAAAAATGGCAGTAGTAAAAGACCAAAAATAACCAAATCCAAAGTGTCTCTGGTCACCCTCACCCACAGTGCATCAAGTGACTTCACAGCAGTCTTGGCTCTGAACAGAGAGCACGCACTTTGCACTGGGCATGCATCATGCCACACAAGGCCTACCCACAGTGCATTACAACACTAGCTCTGGCCAAGTGTGGTGGCACACACCTTTAGTCCCAGCAGAGACAGGCTGATCTTGTGAGTTCCAGGCCAGGTGGGCTGCAGGGAGACCCTATTTCAACCACTCTCCCTCAAAAAAACAGTTCATCTCAGACTCAAGACTAGTATGTTATGAATTACAGTGTTTTACTGTACATACAAGGTTTTCTGTTAGAGAAACTACATGGTTTCCTTACAGAAGACACAGACTTTTACTATTTCCTACCACCATTCTTAAGTATGTATCAAAGTAGTTTATCGTTGGATTGGACTGTATTATGATGTTTGGGATTAAAAATCAATTGCTATTTGAACTAAAGTTTCTATACAGCAGAGGGAACAGTTCAATGAGTAAACAGGAAGACCACAGAATGGGAGAAAAAAGTCTTCACCAGCCGTCCAGCCAACAGAGGATTCATAGCCAGAACATACAAAGAACTCACAAAAAAGCATTAGGTTCACAAACAGCCCAATCTAAAAGTGGGCTTGAAAGTCAGGCAATTTACACCGGGGGCAAATAGATCTCTGTGAGTTCCAGGTCAGTCAGGGACCCTGTCTTAAAACGTGGGCGTTATATTTGAACAGAGTGTTCTCAAGAGGAAACTCAAAAGGTTAAGAAATGTTTTTTTAAAGAAAGAAACGTTAAGAAATGTTCAGCATCCATGGGAATCAGGGAAACGCAAATTAAAACTGCTCTGCGAGTTCATCTCAGTCAGGACGGCGAAGATTGGGGACTTATCTCAACAAATGTTGGTGAGGACGCGGAGAAAGAGGAACCCTGACACCCTAACACTGGGGCAGACCCTGTGGAAATCAGTACGGAGATTCCTCAAAAAGCTAAAAGTAGATCTATCATGGACCAGCTATTCTACTCCAAGGCATATACCCAAAGGACTTGCTATCTTACCACAGGGATACTTGCTCGGCCACAATCACGGCCACGTTGTCTCTCATATGTGGACCCCAGCATTGAATCTTTGGGTTTTTGTGTTTAACTTGGAGTAAAGAATCCAGAAAATCAGAAAGGGGCCATGGAGGGGGGTGGAAGAGATAGTGGGGGGGGGTAGTAGAACACAAGTGTTATGAAGAGGGAAAGCAGGAAGGAAGGGGGTGGGGCGGGACAGAGGAGGGGATGGGTGATGAATAACACTGAGGATGTTTGAAAAACCCATATGGCCTACTATTTAAGGGTTCCTAAAACGTACGTGTGTGTGTGTGTGTGTGTGTGTGTGTGTGTGTGTGTGTGTGTGTGGAGCTGAGGGACAGTGCTCCTCTTAGAAGCCACAGGTGATTAAGCAAAAAGCCCAGTGCCAGGTGTGGAATGTGCCCTTTGACTTGTTGGTCCGTGGGGTCCCAGAAATCCCCCGAGCAAGGCTGTGGCCCTCAGTTACCCCTTATTGCTGAAGATGCTTTGGTCAAAGAACATGGAAAAATCAAGCTGCTATGCACCAGGAAGCACTCTTCCTTCCGACTACCTCTCATCATGCCAGGAGGTTCTCTGTAGGCTGCTGGGGAAGAAAAGTCTTCAACCGTCTTACCCAGAAGTGACTTCTGCAAGCTACACCTCTGATCAGCCTGGCAAGATATGCTGTAAACCTGGCCAAAAGGCTTGGGGAGGTCACAGGCTCTAGGGGAGAGCCTATTGATATAAATTTCCTAAAGAGACGCAGTATCAGACTGCCTTCTAAATACTTATCCCTGCACCCACAGATGAGGGCATCGTTCACCCCCCTTCAGGGGCGCTACTTCACTCAGTCGATGGCAGTTAACGCATAGACTCACAGCCGGTTAAAGTGCAGAGAATAAATAATTGTGGAGTGTTCACCTCTAAGTGACACTGACATGACACCCCCTTCCCCAAAGCTCAGGAACATCAGGGCTGCAAGACTGTAAGCCAGCGTTCAGGGAGGATTGCCAAAAATAGTGTCATCTGGACACGTCCCGGTCACTGCACTCCTGAACACAGCAGTTATGGCTACCGCACAGGCTCAAGCCAGTCAACTCTCCAACACGGATGGGGGAAAGCTCAGGAACATCAGGGCTGCAAGACTGTAAGCCAGCGTTCAGGGAGGACTGCCAAAAATAGTGTCATCTGGACACGTCCCAGTCACTGCACTCCTGAACACAGCAGTTACGGCTACCACACAGGCTCAAGCCAGTCAACTCTCCAACACGGATGGGGAGGTGACCTTGAGGAGGAGGAGGAGGAAGAGGAGGAGGAGGAAGAGGAGGAGGAAGAGGGGGAGG